CCATAGGCCTCTAGGTAGTTCCTTTTTTTATGGTTTATATTTAGAATCTTAACCTAAACCCTAAACCCTAAATCCCAAACCCTAAACCCTAAACCCTGATCTCAAAAAGGAACTACTTAGGGTCCTATGGGTAGTGCTAGGTATTGGAGCGCCCAGCAGCGCTACTACGGGGAGAATGAGGCCGGGCAAGCCCGGGGGAGAGACGGACCCAACAAGAAGGGGGTTTAGGGTTGTAGGGTTTTTTTGGCAACCCTAACCCTTTAAACCCCCAAACCCCCTAAACCCTTAATAATCAAACGTTGTGGAGGGTTTAGGGTTTTGAGTTTAGGGTTTAGGGTTTAGGGGGGGGGGGTGTTTGGAGGGATGCAAAGCTTCCCTTCCGCCCATTGACACCCACACACGTTTTTGTTTGTTAGTAAGTTATTGTTATCATTATGATTGCCATTGCTATGAACATTAGTGATATTACGAGTTATTGTTATGATGATGATTAGAATTGCCGTTTTCGAATTTATTGAGGAACATACCGCAGGGTCCTCGCGACCGTTAGCGTATATTGGTATGGCGAAGGACCTCTCGACCTATATAGTGGGGAATCAACCCGAGAATCCTAATCCCACGAAGCGCCCGAAAATCCCAAGCCTACCTGGCCCAACAGCCGTGAACCCTGCACCTCAAACGGGAGCTGCAAAAGATGGATGGGCAGACGCTAAAAGGGATTCGCAAAAAATGCAGGAGCTCCAAAATCTCCAGAACCCTTAAACTTTAAGTCCCAAGCCGCACCTCAAGGCATAAGCCGCCCACCAACTGTGGGTGGGCGGCGCTTAAGCCCCTGGCGATGGATCGCGAAAGGTCAGCCTGCCTCCCCCACTGCCGTGGCCTACACACATAATATTATTTTCTATTACCATTATCGTAATTATAATTATTATTATAACTAGTATTATTATTATTGTTCTGATTATCATAATTCTAATAAGTAATTAATATTCTGCCCCGCAAGTCGAGGGAAGAGGAGAAGTCTGTTTTGGCGTGGGTTTAGGCCTCAACCCTGGCGAAAGTAGGTTTAGGGTTTAGGGTTTAGGCTTTAGGGTTTAGGGTTTAGGGTTTAGGGTTGTGTGAGTTGGGCGCCTCTGGGAAAGAAGGCGAATCCTTCTGTAGACTGGCTTTCACAGCTCATCGCCACAGTATGCTGCACTCGACATAGCCTTGTCGCGAGATATTGCCGCCTAATGGCAAACCTGAAACCCTAAATCCCGAACCCTAGACCTCAAACCCCAATCCCTTCACCCCAATCCCAAAACTCTAAGCCCCAAGCCCGAAACCCTAAACCCTAAACCCGAAAAAGAGCCGGGGCTGGAGGCTTACGACACCTGCTCGGATTACACCGACGGTCAGATGTTCAAGGTACGGAAATGGGTTAGAGCTTCTATCGGAAATTAGGGCTTCAGATAGCTTTTTCATGGAATTAGGGTGGTTTTAGGGTTTGTTTTTTTCGTGTGTGTGGGTGTCTCTGTGCGTGTGTGTGTGTGTCTCTGTGTGTGTGTGTTTTTTTGTTGTTTTTTTTTGTGTGTGTGTGTGTGTTTGTTTGTGTGTGTGTTTGTGTGCTTGTGTGTCTCTGTGTGTGTGTGTGTGTGCGTGCGTGCGTGCGTGCGCGCGCGCGCGTGTGTGTGTGTGTGTGGGGTACTGGCATGGGTTCTAACTTCGACCACGCACAAACAACCGGTATTTTACAGCGCTTTTGCAACTTTAGCAGCATCTGCGAACTGTCACGAGCATTCCTGCAAGCAAGCATGCCCAGCCACTGGTATTTACAGCGTTTCGCGGTATTTGTTGCATTTTTTGCCACTTCATCAATATTGACTCACTGCCCAAAACAAAGGTCTTGACAGCATTTCTGCCTCTTTGCACGACAGAGTGGCATGCGATTATCAACATCTGAGTGCAAGGAAGACTGGTTCCTTTTGAGGTTACAGCTTTCGGGCTGTGTGAAGGTTTCCTTCTTTTGGGAAGGACCTTCTAGCTTGACCGCCTTTTTTTCACCTGTGATTTGGATGTGGGAAGCGTGGGACTTATGAATATCCCGATCAACGGGAGGTAGCCTACATCCGAAGCCAATGCTTGCTGCTAGCAGGACCCTAAACCCTAAACCGGAACTCTACGCCCTAAACCCTAAGGCCTAAATTGTCCTAAACCCTAAACCCTAAGGCCTAAACTGCCCTAAACCCTAAGCCCTGAGCCTGCGCTGGCAGACCTTCTGCGACATGCACTGCATCGAAGATGCGGTGCTGAAGGGAAACTCGGCCATCCTCAAGTCTCTGAAGACGCAGGCTCGGTTTCGTAATGTAGGGTTTAGGGTTTTAGGGTTTAGGGTTTAGGGTTCAGGGTTTAGGGTTTTAGGGTTTAGGGTTTAGGGTTCAGGGTTTAGGGTTTAGGGTTTAGGCTCGGTTCGTAGTGTAGGGGCCTTAATTTAATGATTAGAATAGGGATTTTGGGGGTTCCATCTCATAATTATAGTAGAAAATGCCGAAGAATTAGAATAGGGTTTTTGGGGGTCCATCTCATAACTCTAGTAGAAAATACCCCCCAGACCCCCCCTATATTATATAGATATTCCCAGGCAGATAGATAGGTAGATAGATAGATCTGCATCTGTGCTTATATGTGCACGTCTGTATGTATGTTTTCATGTTACTATTCTTACGGACTCATCAGTGCCTTTTTGTACGTGGCCGTCTTCTTCTTGTAGTTTACTGTTCAGGCGATAACTATAATCCTTAAGGATCCAGGCCGTTCTTACTGTCTCGCCTCTTGGGGTTCTACGTCTTAGAGTTCCGGGGTTTTCGGGTTCGTTGTGTCGGGTCATCGAGTTTAGGGTTGTGAGGGTCTTAGGGTTTAGGGTCTTGGGGCTTTTAGGGTTTAGGGTCTTAGGGTTTAGGGTTTAGGTTTGAGGTTTGAGGGGTTTCGGAGGGCTTCCAAGAACGGACCAGCAGGAGACCCACGTCGTGACCACGCTGCACGACATGCTGAAGTGGTATCTTTGGCCCCCAGTTCAGTACCCTTTTTGCCCTGTATGTGTTCGGTTTGCAAGGGGTGTGTCTCAAAGGGATGCATAGGTGTATCCGGGTGTTGCAGGCTTGTGTTGGGACCTCCTTATCTGACACTGAGCAACCGGCGCCAGGGTGGTTACCCTCAGCCCTAAACCGTGCACCCTAAACACTAAACCCTAAACCCTGAACCCTGAACCCAAACGCTAAACCCTAAACCCTGAACCCTAAACCCTAAACCCTGAACCCTAAACCCTAGGCCCCAAGCCCTAAACCCTAAACCCACAACTGCGCACTTATCTCTGGGGAGTCTAGGTACACCACCGAGCTCTTCGACAAGCTGAAAGAGACCCAAGATCAGAGCTCTCAGCACCTGGGCTCGGGGTTTAGGGTTCAGGGTTTAGAGCTTAGGGTGCAGGATTTAGGGTTTAGGGTTTGGGGTTTAGGGTTTAGGGGTTTAGGGCTTAGGGTTCAGGGTTTGGGGTTGTTCAGAAACCTACTCTCAGCTGCGATAACCAGGAAAGCGACTGACTGGCTAGCCTGTAGTAGCCCCCTATAGAGCCATTGTAATGTAGAAGCCAGAATAGGTTACGAATACGAGTCCTTCGGGTTCCTTGTTAGAATTATGATCTACCATACCCCAAACCCTATTCGAGTTGCTAAGGCCCCCTCAAACCCGGAACCCTACACCCGTCTAGTCCAAAAACCCTTTGCCAGCACCCAGGAACTTCCTTGAGCAAGAGCGGCTTCTGAAGGCATATTTCGAGCAGATGGCCGACATGGAGACGGGCTACGCGAACCAGGCCAGGATGAATATAGGGGTTATATATGATGGTTATAGGGTTCTAAAGGGCTTTCAGTCGGGTTTCACGGGTTGTTTGTAGGTTTGATAAGGGTTTGTCGGGGCTTCCCGGGGGGGCAAGGGGTTTGAGGGTCGGGGCTTAGGGGTTACGGTGTGCTGCATTGCTGTCATTTTTTGCTCCCACGCTCAAGGTAAACACGCAGATCGACCAGTTGGGAGTGGATATCAACAGTCGCTTCAAGAACAACGTTGATCACCTCAACGTCCTGCAGAAGCACCTGAAGACGGTGAACGACAACATCATCAGTCTGGCCAACTGGCTGGGAAACCAGCCTATGTTTGCCACCGACGATGACCACACTTTCACACCTCCCCACTCCGTCCTGCTTCTTGGATTTTGCACGCAAAATGGGAGGTGAAGGCACTAGCGTCGCAAGGCCAGGGGCCCCAGATAAGTCTTGAGCCCTAAGCCTCGAACCCTCAACTTCTAGAGCTTAACCAAACCCCGAAACTCCAAGAGCCGAAGATCCCTGAACCCTAAACTATAAACCCCCTAAAAACTCCCTAAAAACTCCCTAAAAACTCCCGAGACCGAGGCAGGGTGCGGACCCATCGAGGATCGTTGACGCCAAAGGCATCTCAGTGCAGAAGCCTCCGCACGTGGAAGCGCAAGAGACCCTTGCATGGAGCAGGCGAATTAGGCTCAGAGTTTCAGGGTTTAGGGTTCCCCGTTGGGTCCAGGTTTTCTTTTGAGAAGTTTATGGCCAAGCTTGGCTTTTTGAAAGGTTTTGCCAGGCCCTGGTTCGCAGAGTGGTCTCCTGGTCCCCTGGTCCTTTGGTCCTCGTCCTGGTGCGCTGGTCCCTGGCCTGGTTTCCTCCCTGGTCCGCGGTCCCTCTTCCTGGTACCCTGCCCCCTGGTCCGCTGGCCTACTGTCATATACTTTTTGTATTCTTACTAGTTTCATTGGTACTACTAATAAAAAGCGTTTACATCACCGTTAGTACTGTGATTACCATACTAGTAGTATTGCTCCTATTATGGAGGTTCATACATATTGTTACTATTATCACCATGCGTACTGTGGAATTATAGTAGTCCTACGTTTACTAGGAATAATGCCAGCGCCGCGCTTTTTAAGCCGCAGCTCCCCCACCCACTCTCTTCTTGAGCAATGCAAGCTTGCTTTTCAGAATACCGCGCTATCAAGAAAAAGTGCGTGAACGCCTGAAATAACAGCATGTCAAACGCTGTGTGTTGCAAAGAATTGGGCATGCGGCCGCCCCCCCTCCCAACGCCCTGGTCTTTTCTTAAGCCGCGCAGGCTTGCTTTCAAGAACACACGCCATCAACAAAAATTGCGTCAAACACATAACTCTTGTAGAGCTTTACAAAATTCATCAGATTTCAGTTCTGTTTGCCAATGGGGAGGGGCGCTGTGTCCGCCCCCTCACTCAGCCCCCATTTGTCGTTCAAGCCGTGCAAGCTCGCTCGCAAGTACAAAACTCATATCGACCCTTTCAGAACCCGTGGTAGAAACGTTGTGTTTGCCATTTGCCGGTGGTCGCGCTGTTTTCTCCTGAAGCCGTGCAGGCTTGCTTTCAAAAACATCGATTTCCCCAATAGCTTGCTGCAAAAGAAGACCCCATAAATGAGACTGCCGCAATAGCTTGCTGCAGAAGAAGACCACAGAAGACCCCACAAATGGCAATTACTTCCCCAATAGCTTGCTGCAAATCAAACTC